CCTGAAGCCTTCTTCTCCCTCTCCCTGCATCTCTGGGCCCCAGGTGGAGAAGGAGAGCTAGACTACTGTAGTGTCCTTTGTATGCCCAGGCCTCAGCACCCAGTAGGTGACCACACGTATTGAAATGAACAATGACACGAAGAGCACTGTCAAGGACAACCTTTTCCTACCCCAACCCTTCTTCACGGAGCTCACCTGGGCGTCGCCCCTCCCCATCCCCACATTTCCACTGAGTATAGAGACCCACCTTATTTGCCTAACTTTGGAATCTGACCTCTGGCCCATAGCCATACTGGGCTCTGCCGCCTTTTATACACAAAACCTTTGTCTTCTTAGGAAAATGACCAGGTTCTGCCCATAAAAGTATCCAGCCTGAAAGGAAGGTGGGGAGAGATTGCATCATGGAAAATTGTAGAAACACATTTCTTTGTATTTGAATACTTACAGGACCTCACTTTTGGCAGCAAACCGACTGGGTTAGACCCCAGCATCCTTAGCCTTTTTGTGCCATGGACCTCTTTGGTATCTGATGAAGCCTATGGACTTCTCAGAATAGATTTTTTTAAGTGCACAAAATAAAATACAGAGAGCAATGGAAATAAATTATATCAAAATAGGGTTTATGAAAATATTTGTGATATTACATGATATGTTTTATTGGCACGTTAAATAACAAGATCCAGAGTTTGGTCTAATTACTGTAATTCTGAGGTAATGATGAGCAAAAATGATATCTCAAGATGTCTGCAACAGCTGTAGTGTAATATGAAAATATCTGTTATTTCCGTTGGTAACAAAGTAACAGGTGCTGCTAATGAGGTTTGTTCCCAGCAACATTCACCATGGAAGGAAATGCTTAATTCAATGAAAGGTTAGGGAAAAATCAAGATGTAATCTTACTCCTCCCCATCTTTCCCAATTTTTTTTTTTTTTTTTTTTTTTTTTTTGGCATGGTCTTGCTCTGTTGCCCAGACTGGAGTGCGGTGGCACAATCATTGCTCACTGCAGCCTCAACCTCCCAGGCAATCCTCCCACCCCAGCCTCCTAAGTAGCTGGAACCACAGGTGTACACCACCACGCCTGGCTAATTTCTTTATTTTTATTTTATTTTATATATTTGTTTATTTATTTCAGAGGGAGTCTCACTCTGTTGCCCAGGCTGGAGTGCAGTGGCGCTATCTTGGCTCACTGTGAGCTCTGCCTCCCGGGTTCACGCCATTCTCCTGCCTCAGCCTCCCAAGTAGTTGGGACTACAGGTGCCCGCCATCATGCCCGGCTAATTTTTTGTATTTTTAGTAGAGACCAGGTTTCACCATGTTAACCAGGATGGTCTCAATCTCCTGACATCATGATCCGCCCGCCTTGGCCTCCCAAAGTGGTAGGATTACAGGCATGAGCCACCATGCCCAGCTGTTTTTATTTTTTTAGTAGACATGGGGCCTTGCTATGTTTCCCAGGGTGGTCTCAAACTCCTGAGCTCAAGCAATCCTCCTGCCTTGGCCTCCCAAAGTGCTGGGATTATGGGCGTGAGCCATCATGCCCAGCCCCCTTTCCCATGGTAAAGAGTTCCAGTCCTCGTTAGCCCAGGCCTGGGATTTCCGTTCTAATGCCATTATATCCCTGGCTTATGTTTGTGACAGGGAAGACCAATTAGCAAGTATGCAAATGATGGTTCCCTTAGGATGTCCCCTGGCAAAGAGTTGACTCCTCCAGTGTCAAGGTGGGAATTAATGGTTTATAAAAGTGATGTTCCCAGTAGTAGGCCCTCCAAGAACGCTTACTATGTGCCTATGTGCTTGTCCTTGTGAGAAAAGCACTATCTGTAGTATTTCACCCCATCCCCAGGTGAGCTAAGTATGGTTACCCTTTTCACGGATGTGGAAAATGTGGCTGAGAGATGAGAAAGAGCTCAGGAGATCGAGACCATCCTGGCTAACACAGTGAAACCCTGTCTCTACTAAAAATACAAAAAATTAGCTGGGCGTGGTGGCACGCGCCTGTAGTCCTAGCTACTCAGGAAGCTGAGGCAGGAGAATCACTTGAACCTGGAGGGCAGAGGTTGCAGTGAAGCAAGATCGTGCCACTGCATTCCAGCCTGGGCGACAGAGCGAGACTCTGTCTCTAAATAAATAAATGAATAAATAAATAAGTAAATAAAAGAGATGAGAAAGAGCTGCCCAGGTTGAGGTCACAGGTTTGCCTCAAGCCCTTGCCTGTTCTCTAAACTATAAGCCTCACACACACCCTCACAGGCATTTTTATCTTGATTTCAGATAACTCTGATGACGTTGTAATAATCGTAATAATAATTATCAACAGGAGTGGACCTTCTGTATTTCAGAATCTTGCATCACCACCACCACCACCACCACCACCACCACCACCACCACCATCATCATCATCAAATTAATAGCTAATCCTGGTCACTATGTTATTCCACACATAGTGACCTATGTGTTAAACCTATGAGTTAAATCTAAGGATTTAACTCATCTGACCTTCCTAACAGCAGGAGAAGTTAGATCGTTTGATTAAGGTCACATAGCTAGTAAGCTGGAATTTGAACCAAGGAAATCTGGCTGTAACACCCTCATTTTTTAAAACTTTTTTATTGAAGTAGAACATAGACATCGAAAAATGCGTAAACCATGAGTGCAGAGCCAGTGAATCTTCACACTGTAAGCACTCTCACTCAACTCACTCAATCCACACTCACTCAACCCACCAACCGGAACAAGAAATAGAACACTGTCGGCCGGGCGCGGTGGCTCAAGCCTGTAATCCCAGCACTTTGGGAGGCCGAGGCGGGCAGATCACGAGGTCAGGAGATCGCGACCATTCTGGCTAACACGGTGAAACCCGTCTCTACTAAAAATACAAAAAACTAGCCGGGCGAGGTGGCGGGCGCCTGTAGTCCCAGCTACTCGGGAGGCTGAGGCAGGAGAATGGCATAAACCCGGGAGGCGGAGCTTGCAGTGAGCTGAGATCCGGCCACTGCACTCCAGCCTGGGCAACAGAGCGAGACTCCATCTCAAAAAAAAAAAAAAAAAAAAAGAAATAGAACACTGTCAGCACCAGCAGCTTTTCACTCCCCACCCAGTCCCCAAGGTAACCACTCTCTTAACTTCTATTGCTATTGGATTAGTTCTGCCTTTTTCTTTTTTTTTTCTTGTTTTTATTTATTTATTTACTTATTTATTTTTGAGATGGAGTCTTGCTCTTTTGCCCAGACTAGAGTGCAGTGGTGCCGTCTCGGCTCACTGCAAGCTCCGCCCCACAGGTTCACGCCATTCTCCCACCTCAACCTCCTGAGTAGCTGGGACTACAGGCGCCCACCACCACACCTGGCTAATTTTTTGTATTTGTAGTATAGACGGGTTTTCACTGTGTTAGCCAGGGTGGTCTCAATCTCCTGACCTCATGGATCCACCCACCTCGGCCTCCCAAAGTGCTGGGATTACAGGCGTGGCCACTGCGCCCAGTTGCCTTTTTCTTTTTAGAAAAAGGTCTTGCTGTGTTGCCCAGGCTGGCCATGAACTCCTGGCCTCAACTGATCCTCTCACCTTGCCCTCCTAAAATGCTGGTATTACAGGTCTGGCCTCAAGGAAAAATGAAACCAAGCGTCTCTTACTGTGGAATGGAGTTAGACAGAGATAGTTATGTATCAAGTGCTTTAAGCAGGGGAAATGACAACAAATCACTTTAGTCATACTGTAGCAGTACCTGCATCCTATTTTTTATCTTATATACATGCGCCTTCATTGTAAACCATTATGCTCTCTCCCTTAGTCCTCATGATGACCCTAGAGTCTAGAAAATAGCTTTGTCTCATGCCCATTTTACAGATGAGCAAATTAGTTCTCTGCAACAATTGAATACGTTTCTTGAGACCCCACGTCAGTCCCAGCTACCTGCCCAGGGTGGTCTCACGTCAGTGTGCGGTGGAAGTGGGAGTCTCATCAAGATCTTTGAGGCTGACTGCACCATCTGCTGCCTCACCATCCATCCAGCCTGGGTTTCTGCTAGGAAACTCAGAAACACATTAGAGACTCAGGGATGTTTGTGTGAACAAATGGTCCCATTGCCCTAACTGCTCCAAAGCTTCCTACCAGAGGCCTATCCCTGCCTTTCCAGGGGACCCATCTACTCCAAAGCCCCCTCTCTGTTAAAACGACATGAGCTTCTGGTTGTTCTTCAAAATCTGCAACAAAGTCCCACCTCCTCATCTTTGCGCGTGCTTCCCCCTGCTGATGAGGGTCCACTCTGCCAGGTGCCTGCTTGGCTTCCTCCGTCACTGTTCCAATGTCACCTCCTGGACAAGGCTGACCCTGACCCCTGACTCTCTATCTGCATAACGTAGCCCATGGGCTCTCTTGTTCTTCTGCCTTTGTCTTGGAGTGCTTATTCCGTCTGACTCTATATTCTACACATATATTTGTCTCCCTCTAGAATGTATGTGCCATGAGGGCAAAGTGCTGTTTTATTCACTGCTTTATTCCCAGGGCCCAGATTTACATGGCACACAGTAGGGACTCAATAAATCTTGAGTGGAAGGAAGACTTAGTTAGCACAGAACTTCTCCATCAAAATAAAAATCGCCTCCATGAAGGAAGGCTACCTAGAATTTAAATCCACTGCTTTGCTCCCAGGGGCAGTATTGTGGACTTTTGCCAGGGTCTGATCTTTAGTTGTGACAAAGACCAGAGGTTGTGGGGAACATGGCCAAACCCAGTGAGGTAGCCCATCTGCTGGCCAGGAAGCCACGGAGGGCCTTCCCTACCCCTCTCAGGCAGCTTCCCCCATGTCTGCAGCCAGCCAAAGTGCCCCACCCCAAAGCATCAGAGGAGAGAACCAGCCACCAACCCAGAGGTGACAATAGGGCTGCTGTGTGCTACGGGCCCTTGGGTAGGGCATGGGCTCAGGCAAATGAGCCAGAGCACATGCAGATATAGAGGCATGTGCGCTGGCTGCGCTCTGCTTCCACTCCGGTGCTCGCCAGCATGGAGGACAGCCTAAAGCAGCTCAGCCTGGGGAGAGATCCTGAGGGGGCAGGGGACAGCCAGGCCCTGGCTGAGCTCCAGGAGCTTGCCCTGAAGTGGTTCATGGAGACACAGGCCCCCTTCATTCTGCAGAATGGTGCCCTGCCTCCCTGGTTTCATGGATTCATCACCCGCAAGTAAGGCTGCTTCTGCCCACAGGTCCCTCATAGCCCACAGCCCCTTGGGGCTGAGAAAATGGTCTGGAAACTATGGATCAGACTGGTTCCTGTCCTTTCCCTGGGCTAGGCAGGGGCCCTTGGAGGCGGGGGGCAGGGGAACAGACCGAGGAGCACCATGTCCTCTGGTGGTGGCTTCTGTAGGCAGAGTCGGGGAGGGCAACGGCCTCTACTTTAGTACAAGTTGAGGATGACTGGGGCTGCCAGGCTGCCAGAGGACAGAAAGAGGGCCAGGCGTGACTTGATGAGTAACTAGGGGACCATATCATGTATTGTCCAAACCAGAACACTATTAGTAACTAAGCTAGGAGAACTGTCATAAATGGGGCCATCCCAGGAAAACCTGGATGCACGGTTACCCTAGGTATAAAGGCCAAGATAGAGGTTTGACTTTCTATATGGGCTGGGTCTCCAAGCAACCAAAACACCTGATGAAGGAATGACAAATCCAGCCAGTTCTTAGGTACTGGCACAGCACCTGCACAGAGCCAGGGCCAGCTTTATGGGCACTGACTTGTGCAACAGCACAGGGTCAAAAGGGCTCCACATTTGATTTAACACTCTGCTGTCACTGTCTTGATATTCTAAATCATTTTGAACCAGGGGCCCCATGTTTTCATTTAGCACCTGGCCCTGCAAATGATTTAGCTGCATAGAGCAGGCACTCAGTATTTGGTGAGTAACTGAGTGAGGGAATATGTATCTGGTCTATGTACTGCCAAACCACAAGACAGGTGGAACTTTTCACCATGCCTCCAAAATATTTGGCACCATGTGGAAAATCTCTGTAGCTGCCTGGGATTAAAGGGGACAGGAAGAGGAATGAATCCCTTTTAGCTGCTTCAGACATAGCAGCATCTTCTCCCTGCAGAAGCTCGTGTGTAGTGCACATCTTGTAGTACTGTACACAGTGGTTCTGAGGGAGGGACCCCCCACTAAACCTCAACATCTCCAGCTGTGTGGATTTATTCTTGCTACACAACCATCCGGGTGGAGAGTGGGTGGCCAGGGTCAGCAACCAGTGTGCCTGCTAGTGAGGCTGCAGTGGGGAGTCGGGGGGTGCATATGACTTCAGACCCTGACCCAGCCCCAGACAGTCTTGAACTTAATCATTTGGGCCCAGATAGACCACATACTGAGCCCTGACAGGCCACAGACCAATCCATAGGTCTGAGTGGCTCCTCTATAAAGGGTTGGAGGTCTGGAACCCAAAGGCATGGCCAGCAGGGATTCCAAGAGAGGCCTAAGTCAGGCTGTACCTGCTGCTGTTAGGGCACAGACCCCAGCTAATGGCATGTCCTCTGCCCAGGCAGACGGAGCAGCTACTCAGGGACAGAGCTCTTGGTTCCTTCCTTATCCGCCTCAGTGACCGAGCCACCGGCTACATCTTGTCCTACAGGTAAGGGGAAGCCCTCTGGGCAAGCAAGCTCAGCCTACCATAACCTAGCCTTGCAGATTAGTGCAGAGGCCCCACTGGCCCAAATTGCCTAGATTTCCCTGGGTCCTGACTCCTGACTCCTTCATTCATCCATCACATGCTTAGCAGACACTTCCTGAGCAGCACTGGCCGTATGCTACGGATGAAGCTACAGCCTTCAAAGGAGTGGGGCTTGGAGGAGGCTTCACAGAGGTGAACTTTGAGCCTAGGATAGAAGAAAGAATACAAGTTGCTAGGCAGAAAGGAGGGTGTGGTTGGGGTTTAGGAGGGCATCTCTGGTAGATGGAATGCCATGTGCAAAAGTACAGAGGCATGAAAGACAAGGGTGCTGGGGGAGCTGCAGGTTGCTGGGTGCAGCAGAACACTTGGTTCCTTTGGAGGAATGCCTGGAGGGGAGGGTGGGAGAAGCTTAGAATGGCCTTGGATGCCTAGCTAAGTCTGTAGACCCTGAAGGATGATCTGGTTTGCTGTATTTGCATAGGTCCTTTAGGCAGCCTATGGAGAGAGGACTGGAAGTCAGAGCTGGAGGTGTGGGGGCACTGGGGACTCCTGCAATTGCCTGAATGTGAGATAATGAGGTCCGGGCTAGGATAGGGTAGTGGGGATAGAGAGAAGGAGACAAGGTAGCCAGGACAAAGGCAGAGATGGTGATGTCGAATCTTGTCCCAAGAGTAGGTCGGTTGGAAGGGGAAATTCAGAGGAGGTAAGAAGATTTCTCTAAGTAGGGAGGGAGGCTAGGGCTCCAGGGTAAACTTAAAAGTCTTCAGATTCTGATTCAAAATTGTCACATATTCAGACTGCCCCAGTTCAAACACTGACCTTGAGCAAGTTACTTTGCTTGTCTGTTCCCCCGTTTCCTCATTTGTAAAATGGGAATATGATAACCCCTGCTTCATAGGATTGATGAAAGTGTGCAATCAGTTGATACATTTAAAAGTGCTTGGCACAATGCATATAATGCAGTAAGGACTTTAAATAAATGTTAGTCGTCGTTAAAATATTTTTATTCTATGTGCCAGACACTGTGCTAGGCATTTTGAAATATACTAACTCAGTAGTTTTCAAATGTCTTTTGAGCTTTGGGGATTTTTTTCTTTTGTTTTGTTTCTTCCCAGATAAGATCTTAGGGAGAATACTAACTTATAAAAGAGACCAAAGTGGGACCGCTCAAAGGTATACAAATAGAAAAAGGGAACAGAAAAGAGTCCCAAAACAGTCCCAAATGTTTGGTTACCAGATTTGCAACAGAGGCATCACTGCAATTCCGTGGGGGAAAGGCTTGCTTTTTCAATAATTGGTGCAGGAGCAATTGGATATCTAAATGGAAGACAATTACTGCTACCTCATACCATACACAAAAATTAATTAATTCTAGATGGATTGTAGATCCAAGAAAGAAAAGCAAAACAATACCATTTCTAGAAGAAAACAGAAAAACATTGTCATAGGTAAATGAAAATACCTTTGAAAATGAGAGGCCAAGATTTTTTAAACAGGACACAAAAAGCACTAATCTTAAAAGAGTGATTAATTTGATTTCCTTAAAATTAAGAATTTTTAAAAATTTATTTATTTATTTGCGACAGAGTCTCACTCTCTTGCCCAGGCTGGAGTGCAGTGGTGCGATCTCTGCTCACTGCCACGTTTCCTCCCGGGTTCAAGCAATTCTCCTGTCTGAGCCTCCCAACTAGCTGGGACTACAGGCACACGCCACCATATCCAGCTAATTTTTGTATTTTTAGTAGAGACGGGGTTTCACCATATTGGTCAGACTGGTCTCTATCTCCTGATCTTGGGTGATCCACCTGCCTCGGCCTCCCAAAGTGCTGGGATTACAGGCGTGAGCCACTGCACCTACCCAAAATTAAGAATTTTTATAATTAAAAGATATTATTAAGAGAAGAAAAAGATCAGTGTGCAGTCTTGAATAAGTTATCTATTAGCATACAAATATCTAACAAAGGACTCAAATCCAGAATATATAAAGAACTCCTACAAATAAATAAGACAAAAAGAGATAATTACATAAATAAAAGCAAAAGAACTGAGCACTTTACCAAAAAGAAAAACCCAGAAGGCCCATGTTCAGCATCATTAGCTGTCAGGGAGACACAAATTAAAGCCACATTGGATGGCTATAATGGAAAGACAGAATATGTGGAACAACTGGAGCTCTCATACATTGCAATAATTTTATTTGATTTTTGAGATGGAGTTTCACTCTTGTCACCCAGCTGGAGTGCAATGGCATGATCTCGGCCCACTGCAACCTCCGCCTCCCAGGTTCAAGTAATTCTCCTACCTCAGCCTCCCGAGTAACTGGGATTACAGGCAACCACCACACACCAGCTATTTTTTTGTTTGTTTGTTTTTTAAATTTTTAGTAAAGATGGAGTTTCACCATATTGAGCAAGCTTGTCTTGAACACCTGACCTCAAGTGATCTGCCTGCCTGGGCCTCTCAAAGTGCTGGGATTATAGGCATGAGCCACTGTGCCCAGCCCATTGCAATAATTTTAGAAAGCAATTTGGCATGATTTACTAAAGCCAAATACAGGTGTACCCATGACCCATCAACTCTATTCCTTGGTATATTCTCATCAGAAATGAGTACATATTCACCAAAAGATATGTACAAGAATGCTCACAGCAACTTTATTTATAACAGCCGAGATCTGGAAACAACCTAAATGTCTATCAACAGAATAGGTACGTGGTGGATTTTTCCTTAATTAGAATACTACATATAAATGAGAAAAAAAAAGAAACTAATTGTACTTGGACATGAATCAATCTCCAAGATACAATGTTGAGTGAAAGGTGCTAGACACAAGAGACGTATTATAGAAGTTCTCTAATGGGCTAGACTAATCTATGCTGATAGGCGTCAGAATGGTGGCTACCTTTGGGGGGCATTGACTGGAAGGGAGTGCAAGTAGGTCTTCTAGGGGCTGGAAAGGTTTTATATCTTGATCTGAGTGGCAGTTACATGGGAGGGTTCCTATGTGGAAAATCATCAAACTGCACATTTATGATGTATGCACATCATTGTGTAGACGTTATTTTTCTAGGAAAAAGGAAGATGAAGAGGGTGAGATTTTAGGGTGGGACTTTACAGGCCGAAGAGGGAGTGGGAGCTGGAACTCCATCATTGCAGCAGGGTGGGGAGTAGAGGGAGGTTGAGTTGTACAGGTGTAGGGTTGGATCCTGTCTTTATTTAAAACTTTGGTGTTTTGTTCATTGTGGATTTTTTTTCATATATTTTGATTTTCTAAAATACTGCGTTATTAGTTTTCTTGATTGAGTTTTTTGGTGCCCCTGTAAATTTCGCACCCAAGATGAGTGCCTCACTTGCCTCACTCCAGTCGCAGCTGTGCCTTCCCTGACTCCACCAGAGCAGGCTTAGGTACTTCCCAAGATCCCAGGGCTCCATGGTTTGAAAACCTCTCCGTAGCTTCCTGACAAACACACCATGGCTCCAAGTGGGGTACAGTGGCCCCAGGTCAGGCAGGTCTGTTCTGGATCAAGAACTGGGACCCCTCTCCTGCACCCAGGCACAGAGCTCAGACCGTGGGCCAAGGCTGGGCTGCCTTGTGTTGCAGGGGCAGCAATCGTTGCCGACATTTTGTCATCAACCAGCTTCAAAACCGGCGTTACATCATCTCAGGAGACACCCAGAGCCACAGCACCTTGGCTGAGCTTGTGCACCATTACCAGGAGGCACAGCTTGAGCCCTTCGGAGAGATGCTGACTGCTGCCTGCCCCCGGGTAGGCGCCCCACTTCCCCAGGGTGAAGGTGGCTGGGCAGGGAGCCCAGGCCTGGGGTATCCATCACTCAGGCATACCCCTTTTCAAGCCCTCCCTATTTACTATCACCCAGGGGCACTCAGTGTGGGGTCATGATCCCTACTGGAAAAAGGGAGACTGTGGCGATGTCTTACCTGAGGTCAGGAACCCGGTGGGAATGTTGCAGTCTCTTACCAGCAGTCTCAGGTAGGCTCTGGAGACTGGCTGGGCCTGTGTGACCACATGCCTGCTGTATCCCCATACCCCCAGCCAGAGGACAATGATATGTATGATGCCATCACCCGGGGCCTCCACCAGACCATCGTGGACCCAGAAAACCTGCCTGCCATGGTATCCCCCACAGTGGTCCCAGACAAGGCCGCCAGCCCCCACTCATCTCCAAAGCCCCAGGTCTCCTTCCTCCATGCAGAGAAGAGTCTGGATGTGAGTCCCCGGAACCTCTCCCAGGAGGAAAGCATGGAGGTGAGAAGCATGGGCCACCTAGAGTCAGGGTTGCCAGACCAGGGATGTGGGTGCCATGCTCCTAGTCAGACCCTGAGGCCAGGCCAGCCACTCCCTCCGGCTGTAGAGGGTGAGCCAGGCCCAGAGGTGCAGACTCATCTTGGAATCACCCAGGGTTCACCCGTGCCATTGCCTGCCTCTGGCTAGTTAGATTTGGTTCAAGCCTTGGCTTGGCCATTTTCTAGCGATGTGGCTCCAGGCGAGTCACATAATTTCTCTGAGCCTCAGTTTACCATGCCTGAGGTTCTTGTGAAGCTTGAATGAGAAAACGGATATGAAATGCCTGAACATCCCTTAGTAAGCTGTAGTGTGGGGTGCCTGTGAGTCAATATTTTATTCTTCTCCATAGCACCCCATGGACTCAGAAAGATTTTTCTTTTCTTTTTTTTTTTAATTTGTTTGTTTCTGTTCGTTTTTGTTTTTGTTTTTGAGATGGAGTCTTGCTGCATTGCCCAGGCTGGAGTGCAATGGTGCAATCTCAGCTCACTGCAATCTCCTCCGCCTCCTGGGTTCAAGTGATTCTCCTGCCTCAGCCTCTCGAGGAGCTGGGATTACAGGCACCTGCCGCCACATCTGGCTAATTTTTGTATTTTTAGTAGCAACAGGGTTTCAACATATTGGCCAGGCTGGTCTTGAACTCTTGACCTCAAGTGATCTGCCCACCTTGGCTAAAGTGCTGGGATTCCAGGCATGAGCCATTGTGCCCAGCCTTTTTTACTTTTATTTTTGAGACAGAGTCTCACTCTATTATCCAGACTAGAGTGTAGTGGCACCATCTTAGATCACTGCAATCTCTGCCTCCTGGATCCAAGTGATTCCCCTGCCTCAGCCTCCTGAGTAGCTGGGATTACAGGTGCACGCCACCATGCCCGACTAATTTTTTTTTTTTGTATTTTTAGTAGAGACAGGGTTTCGCCATGTTGGCCAGGCTGGTCTCAAACTCTTGACCTCAGGTTTTCTGCCTGCCTCGGCTCCCAAAGTGCTAGGATTACAAGCGTGAGCCACCGTGCCGGCCAAAAGATTTTTCTTTGTATCAGATCACAGCATGCCAACGGCTTTTCCTCACATTTAGAATAAAACCTAAACACTTCACCAGGGCCCGCAAGAGCCTCACCAGATGCCCTGCTACCCCCTGCTTCTTCACTGGAGGCTTCAGTGAGGCCTTTTCTCTGACTTCTTTGGCCTTCTAGATCATCCTCGAACATACCAACCTTGCTCCCACCTCAGGGCCTCTGCACTGGCTCTACTGTCTGCCTGGAATGCTCTTCCTACAAGATACCCGCATGGCTTACACTCTAACTGCATTCCATTCTTTTCTTAAATATCACCACCTCAGAAAGGCCCACCTATGACAGAAAATGTTGCCTTCCCCACCTGCCATTCTCTCTATCCCATGACGCTGCTTCGTTCTTTGTAGCACTGATCATGCCCCCACGCTCCGTTGTCTTGTGATATATTCGCCCGTCATATAGCACATCAAACCATATTGTGCTACACAGCGCAGCAGTATGCTGCCCATCTCCCAGATTAGAATATAAATTCCCAAGAGTTAGTCTTGCTCACCAGAGTCCTTGGCACCTAGGACAGTGTCTGGCACATAGTTGGTGCTCACTAAATATTTGTTAAATGAGTGATGGGACTTGGAGATGGACCATTCTGAAGGGAAATACAGCAGTGAGTGGGTTTGGGGGCACAGAGGGAACAGTGGACCACAATGGAGGTGGGAGGAGGTGGGAGGAGGGGAGGGAAAAATTGGGTGGGAGGTAGAGCTGGTGACCCAAAGCCTTGAATGCCAAGGTAAAGTACGAGTCCTAGGCCGGGTGTGGTGGCTCACACCTGTAATCCCAGCACTTTGGGAGGCTGAGACGGGTGGATCACCTGAGGTCAGGAGTTTGAGACCTGCCTGGCCAACACTGGGAAACCCCGTCTCTATAAAAATACAAAAATTAGCTGGGCATGATGGTGGGAGCCTGTAATCCCAGCTACTCAGGAGGCTGAGGTGGGAGAAGAGCTTGAACCTGGGAGGCAGAGGTTGCAGTGAGCCAAGATCGCACCACTGCACTCTAGCCTGGGCAACACAGCGAGACTCCATCTTAAAAAACAAACAAAAAAAAGAACAAGTCCTAGAGCATGAGAGCTGGAAGGGACCCTGAGTGTCATGTATCCAACCCTTGCATGTACAGGCAGGAAGACTATAGCCAAGACAGGGGACCTCGGCTTATCCGAGAGAGTTTTTACTGGAGGGCATCTTAGTGATGGGCTGCCCCTTAAGAGTTTCTCTGTCCCTGTCTCCTCAGGCTCCCATCAGAGTGCCCCCACTCCCTGAGAGGAGTTCCTCCCTCCTGGAAGAGTCTTTTGGAGGCCCCAGTGACATCATCTATGCAGACCTGAGGAAGATGAACCAGGCACGGCTAGGCTTGGGCACAGAGGGGTCCAGCAGGCATGCACCAGTTCCAGCTGGCAGCCAGGCCTACTCCCCAGGCAAGGAGGCCCAAAGGAGACTCTCAGATGGAGAACAGAATAGGCCTCATGGCCTGGTGCCTGTCCTCTCTGGGGTGAGCCCAGACCAGGGTCCCACAGAGTCTCCCACTTCCTGGGGGTGTTCTAATGCCATGGGATCCCTGGGGGCCACCTGGAGGCAAGAGTTTCCAAAGCTGAGCCAAGAGGCTCAGCCCTGCTCCCAGGGCAGCTCTGCAGATATCTATGAGTTCACTGGGACACACGGCCCCCTGCAAGAGGCCAGGGACACACCAGACCAAGAAGGCAGTACCTATGAGCAGATCCCAGCTTGCTGGGGTGACCCAGCCAGGGCCCCACATCCTGGGGCCAGTCCCACATCTAGCCCATGGGTACATGGGCCCATGTACCATGGCTACAAGAGGATCTCAGGGCCCCCAGGGCTCCCAGAGCCTGGGAACACCTATGAGCAGATCCCAGCAACCAAGAGCAAGGAGACTGGACGGATGCACAAGGTGAGCTCCATGACGGGATGGGGCGGCTCCCAGCCCTTAGAGAGCACCTGGTGGTAAGAGACAACCTGTAGCCCCCAGGCATAGGCAGGTCAGGTCACCGCCACTGCGTGGAAGTACACAGAATTTTCCAGCCCTAACATCTGCCTGGAAATGGTGGTGGTGGTGGTGGTGGTGGTGGGAGAGGCAGCTGCTAGATTTGGATGTAAGACAGGGGCTTCCAGGCTCTTCTAAGGGCATTCTCTACAATAGATCAGCCTCTGCAGGGGTCTCAGAGCCTCTGGGTGCAGGAGAACAGCCCCTTTGCCCCTACTCCCTCGCCTTGTAGCTTTGGGCAAGACAAATTCCAGGACAACCAGTTAAACCTGAATTACAGATAAACAACATTTTTGAGGCCAGGCATGGTGGCTCATGTCTGTAATCCGAGCCTTTTGGGAGGCTGAGGCAGGTGGATTGCTTGAGCTTGGGAGTTTGAGACCAGCCTGGGCAACGTGGCAAAATCCCATCTCTACGAAAAAATACAAAAAATTGCCAGGCATGGTGGCCTGTTGTCTCAGCTACTTGGGGGGCAGAAGCAGGAGGATCGTTTGAACCTGGGAGGTTAAAGTTGTGATGAGTCCAGATTGCGCCACTGCACTCCAGTCTGGGAGACAAAGTGAGACTCTGTTTAAAAAAACAAACAAAAAAACCAAACCAAAACAAAAACCATTTCAAAGTATGTCTCAAATATCACAATTATTCCTTTGTTTATCTGAAATTTAAACTTAACTGGGCATCTACATTCTTGTTTAGCAACCCCACCCGGGACCTCCATTTCCTCATCTGTAAAATGGGCTGATCCTCTGCTTGTATCCAGGGGCAGGTGCCCAGATGATAGTGCTAGACATCCTCTCCTGCTCAGGACACAGCCCAGAGAGGGCTCTTGAAGAACACAGCTATTATTCTGAGGATCTCGGTGGTGGTGGTGGTGGTGGTGGTGGTGGTGGTGGTGGTGGTGGTGGTGGTGGTGGTGGTAGGAGAGGCAGCTGCTAGATTTGGGTGTAAGCTGGGGGCTTCCAGGACCTTCTAAGGACTTTCTCTGCAGCAGACCAGGGGTCCTTTCCCCTCCCTCTTGGTTTCTGCAGGGGTCTGCTAAGTAAGGAGGAGAGGGGACCAGGAGTGTGGAGAGCAGTGGCCGGGAGTGGGGCTGGTCCAGGGTTCTCAGGGAGGCAGATGAACTCTCTGGAGCCCTCAGTCCCAACTGCACTCTGCCTATACCCGGAGACAATAAAACCTGGGAGTCCCTTCCCCAGTGGCAAGTCCTCTGATCTCAGTCAGGCACACACAGATCTTCCAGCTGGATTCCTGGTGCAAAGATCTTCCCGGGAAGTGCTGACAGCTCCTCCCTCAGGACAGGGCTATGCCCCCATACCCCATGGATAGAAGCCTTTGAGATCCTGACTCTCTGGGGACCACAGATCTAGCAGTGGACAGTCCTGAGACCCTCAGAAGCCACATCCCATGTCTGCTCTTTCCCTGTGGCTGCCCCATGACCTCTCCCATCTCTGCGGGCCTGGGTACAGCCTCACCCCACCCTACCTTCGACACCAGTGCATCCTGAGGCCCCCAGCTGCGGGTCAGGGGAGACCAGGGCACTCCAGGGAGGTAAGGTGAGGCTCGCCACCCTTTCTACACTCCTCCTTCCCCTCCTGTCCTTCGCCAGAAGAGGGTGAACCCTGCATCCAAAATTGGAGAGCTAAAGGTGGGATTTCAGGCACCGGGAGAGGCTTGTAGAATCAACCACCAGAATTCAAACCTGGCCTCATGTCCTGGGCTTGGGCCCCCAACCCAAAGTCAATGAGGGGTCCTCGGAGCCTGGGTCTTTCCCTCCCTGTCCAGCGACCCCAGGCCCCAGTATCTCCTCCTTCCTTGCAGCCTGACAAGCTTCGGAGGCTCTTCTTCACGGACAGGAAGCACAAATTCTGAGGGCCTGGCATCTGGCAGCCCACCAGTGGGTTTCCTGGTACCCAGGCCATGCCAGGGGTTATCGCAAAGCCCTCAGCTCACTTGAAGGCACCCTTTGGATCTTCAGACTCATCCAGCCTACTACAGAACTAGGCTCCGAGACAGCCACGGTGCCTGCCTGAGAGCAGGTGGAAGAGGACCTTCCAACCACCTGCAGCTCCTGGCTATGTCCTGCTTTCCTTGTGCCTCCCATCCATGCATAGGAGGGAATCAAGGCTGGAGAGGAGTGACACTGGCCAAGGGCAAGGGTCAGCACCCCCATTTCCCAGATGAGCATTCTGAGGCCCAGGCAGACTGACTGAACCTGCCTCCCACTACTGAGCACTTACCGAATGTGTGACAGGCTGTGTGCTAGGACAGACACCTTTCTAACTGGCCAAGTGACATCATGCAATTGCTATTGAGAAAACCAATTCCCCTCCTTGTGGCCCCATCAGCACAAAGGAGGGGAAGGCCAGAAGCCACATCCTCTGCTTCAGGCCTCTTCACTCCAGCTGTGCCCTCAGGTCAGGCTGGCTCTTCCTGGAGCTCTGTCCCTCAGGAAACTTCCTGTTTGTGTGTCACTTCCCTTCCTATCCACATTTCCCATTCTCTATAAGGGTGGACAGCTGGCTTGCTGCCCCGCTCCCCACTACCCCAAGCCCGGGACGCAGAAAACAGGACTGATCATCTCCAGCGACAACACCATAGGTACCCCTCCTCCCTGCCCTGACCCTGGGCAGAGCTGGCTCAGGTCGCATTTGTGGGAAATCTACCCTAGTGACCACTTGGCTATGCAGCTTTTCCTGAAATATAGGCCTGTAAGAGTCCCTCCCTCCTTGGGGGTTGTAAGGATTGAGACTGAAGCAACTGTCCCTGTGCCTGAGTGGTTAGCACTCCTGAATGTTAACCGGAGATACTGTCAGGGAATTTACAGAAGTTTCGGGGCATGGATGTGTCTTCTTCCCAACGGCACACGCACTGAAATCAAAGCTAGTGCCTAAAGCAGGAGGCACTGCCTGATGCTGAGAGGTGAGACGCCAATGGTGGGATTTCAAGGATCAGAAGCAAAGGTACCCTCAAACATTTCCTAACATTAGCAGACATGGAGAGCACAGGGATGCAAAAGTGTTTTACTACCAGGAGTTCACACATCTATGGACAGCACATACCAGTGAGGATTCCATGGTGTTGGGGAGGGCAGGCAGGGTAGTACTCATGACCCAGAGACAGAGACAGGGGCAAGAGCCCTTCGGCCCACTGTGCCCACAGCTTCACATTGTGAAGGAGGCCAGGAGAAGAGGAACAGGCAGGGGTGAGGAGCAGCCCAACCTTGGGTTTTAGAAAAAGATTGCATAGCTCATTAAAACCCTGACCTCTTTTTTTTTTTTTTTTTTTTTTTCCATTCTGTCCTGGGTGACCAGGGTGCCTGCCAGCACTTGGACACATCAGACCCCACCACCTCCTGTTGGGTTATCTGCCTTTCCCTTTGGGGGGTGGGGAGCATTTCTGGAGTGGGAGAGGACTGGGGCATGGGGCGGGGTGCAGAGGGCCTGGAGAGGGGCCCTGGGTCCTCGGGCTGGACCACAGAGGGGCTGTGGGAAGGGTCCTAACCCTCACACACCCCCTTCCTGGTTAAGGCTGTTTTTTGCTGAAAGGGCCACAGGAAATATTCGTGGTGTGAACCCCAGAGGCTGCCACTGCTTTCCTGGGGAGCTTGGAGGCCACACCCATGTGACCACAGGGCAGGACGGTGGACTTCCAGGCCCCTGCAGCCTCGGCAGTGTCCTCAGATCCGGATGTGGAAAGTGCTAGAAAGAGAGAAAGGGCAAGAGAGGGTGAGAGGCCTTGGGTTGGGCAGGTAAAGGCTCCTCAGGGAAAAGCACAGCAGACCCCAGGCCCATGCTGGACAGCGCCTCAATAGGGAACCCTGCATAGTGGATGCAAGTAATCAATACTGAGGGAAGGCAGGCTTGGAGGGACAGCAGTGCCCAGGGAGTTCTGCCCCCAGTTATCACTGAAGGGGCCCCCAGGTCTTCCACCTTCCCCCTTGCAGGGGACAAAGGCCAGTCACATGTCTAGGGCAAGGGTGCCTTGAACATGACCTCCTGCTTCCTGGTCACACACCACTGCTCACAAACAGCGAGTGACAGGGGCTTAGCCCCAACATCCCGGCCTGCCCTGCCCTGCCCTGCCCAAGCCCGGCCCCTGTAGTGGCAGCACCTGAGGAAGTCAGGGGCCTTGGCAATCATGTCCTCGAAGTCAGCAAAGCCCAGCTTGCCATCACCATCCAGGTCAGCCTCCTCAATGACCTTGTCGCACACAAGCACCACCTCCTCCTCATCCAGCTCTGACTTAGTGAGCCGGGCCAGCGTCAGCTCCAGGTCTTCCTTGCAGATGAAGTTGTCAGTGTTGAAGTCTGTGGGGCGGGGGTTGGACATGTTCAAGTCCGGGTTGCATGCACCCAGGGACCCCCTACACTCCCAGCTGGTCCCACTACCTCCACCAGCTTCTGATGTCCCCAGAGCATCTCCATGCACACTCTCGGGACACTGGATCCCAGCCCCCAAGAGGGCTCACCCACCAGGCATAGCTTAGACACCCACATCCACCACCCACAACAACCCCACAATGACTAAACCACATCCTGAAACAAGTCAAAAGTCCAAATCTGAGGTTTCCTGAGAACTTCAGGCTTAGGCCAGATAGCCCTTCCTGGCCTTAGCCCACAGTGGACCCTGTGTTCCCTTTAGACTTCTAGAGCTAAGGAAACTAAGGCCCAAAAAGGCCATGTGATTTAATCAAGGTGGGAGAGCCACTCGGAGATGGAGCAGGGATTCTGATTGGGGCCTATGTGACTCTAAGACCCAAGTTTTCTAAACCGCACCATGTTGCCTCAGTGGTGTGTGGCCAGGAGACACGATGGGTCAGGAGACTCAAAATCAAAAGGCCCTTAGAGAGGGGCCTGTGCCTGGCATTAGTGCACACAGAACAGGGAACATGGTTTGATTCTACCCAGCAAAAGGCACTATCACTGCCCCAAAGGATAGCAAAATGGTTCAGAGGACCAAGCCATGTGTGGCTGCATCAAAGCAAACTCTTCTTACATTTTCAGCCCAACTACCAGATCTGC